GGTTGTTTAGAAATACCCAACAAAATTGGCGATCTTTTCATTTCATTGTACAATTTAGTATTTTGTTTAATCGTATTGAGATTCGTGGCAATCATACGCAATATGTTAAAGTATTTTTCGACGTTATTATTTATATTATTGAGAAACTCATAAGAGGATCGTACGAGAAGCTGGGCGAATTCGGTTGGCGATGGTTCAGGTTTTACACCGCAACTTCGTAAAAATTGGTTGGCTCGATCACCGAAATGCACATGTGGAAAGAAATCTGCATAACTATTTAAATACCGAAAAGTGGTTTAGAATGAAATGAAAATCTAATTGCTAAATAGGAACAATTCAATAATAATTACCTATCATCTTGTCCTCGGAAATAACAGCTAGAAGGATTTATATGGATGATGTAGTTAGGTTGCGACTTGTCACTTGCAACAGGAATAAAGTTCAAGCGTCCTAATGTCACCCAATCAGAGCTATTAAATTCTCCCTGTTGCGAAGCCAAATATTCAAAGATTTCTTTGGCTTTTACTAAGTTCGATGGTGGCTCTTTCGACAGTTTCGCTATCAATTGATCACGATGTGGATGTTCGCGAATCCCCAAATCTCGAGCACGCGAACGTAAATCTTGATGAAGAACGCGGTAACCCATGACTTGACATGCGGGATCGGCAAAACATTCTGAAGGAGTAGCGTAATCTTGCTTATTTGCACAAGGCAAAAAAGCATACGTGATAAGGGTGTTATTATATTCTGTCGAATATTTTTCCTTGAATTTTTCGAGAAAATAATGAAGAGCTTTGGATCGGAGCTGCATTTGGGAAGGAGGCGAAGCCAGCACAAGTATCGTTTCCAACGGTGGATGCACACGAAGTCCCATATCCAAAAGAAACTTGGCTAGAAGATTTTAGAATCAGTAAAGCATTGATATAATAGTAATTATAACAAAATAAGAATAATGTATCGTCATCAATACCATCTTTCGTATTTGATTTCCATACGCCTTTCCATTCAATAATTGGCAACCCTAGATCCCTAAGCTCAACAAGAGGTGCATATAAGTCTGTCGCGACAAATCTTTTAACAGATCGAGTTGGTTTAACCGTGCCGTTCGCATCTACTATGGAATCCTCATTTTCTAATCGTTCTCTGGGCCAAATTGGAGTGATTTTTAATCGCTCTTTTTCAATTGGCTTGAGTTCCACAGAAGCCAAATATTTTACAAGTTGCATGTGATCCCAACTTCCTTGGCTAATCAATCGGTCGAAAACAATCTGCAACTCAACATGCTATAATAAATAAAATAATTAGATATTTTATTTGTTTATTAATAAGAGGGATATATATATATATGTATGCATGTATGTATGTATGTGTATGTGTGCGCGCGCGCGTGTGTGTGTGTGTATGTGTGTGTGTGTGTGTGTGTGTGTGTTACCTTTCGCACTCCTAAATAAGCAAGGAATTTTTCAGAAACTCCCTTTTGGTTCTGGAAATTAATCACTGGTAAATCTCGAAAAAGATTTACAGTTTGAAAATAAGCGTGATCAGGCAACTTCATTCCAAATTTAGTAGGAATACAGCGTTTTGCGCCAAGTAAATTTCTTATGGTATTTTGATCATTGGCGGATAGATTTGTCCAACCTCGAGATATTGTTGCAAGAAACTTCTCCGAATAAGCTGGCGAGTTTTCTAGCTCTGGTTTGTCGAAAACAGATTGCGCCCATGTGACAAGAGTAAGCTCTGTGAAATTTCTGAATTTAAGTTTAAAATTTAAATCAATAAGTTATTATCTTTACGATAATAAAAGGTTGACTATAGAGGCTTTTGGAAATAATACCCAAAAAATTTTTCAAGATCATTCTTGTGAAATGACTTTGTAATTGAATACGATTAAACAAAATACTAAATTGTACAATGAAATGAAAAGATCGCCAATTTTGTTGGGTATTTCTAAACAACC